CATATCATCACATAGACACATCATACAAACATACATTTACTTAAGCAATACATACCTTTTTAATTAATTCAATTGAACTTTTAATAAATTCAATTGGACCTTTAGTTTGAGAATTGACCATATGAAATAATTTTTGGACTTATGGAAGTTTGGTTCCAATTAATTTAAACTTACTAATTAAACTATCCCATTAAATTCATTTATTTTTGTCTATTAAATTCTATTTAATCCTTTAACCATTATAACCCTTTTAACCTTACCATTTTAATTCCATACTTTTTATCATTAAATCTTTAGCTATTAAATCAATTAACTATTTAATTAAGGGTTCCATTTAACCCTAAACATACATTTACTAAAAATTTCTTAGGCTAGAAAATCATTTAATTAATTCAATTGAACATTGAATAAATTCAATTAAACCTTTAGTTAGAGAATTAACCATATGAAAGAATTTTTGGACTTATGGAACTTTGGTTCCAAATTAATTTAGACTTACCTATTGAATTATCCTATTTAATTCATTTATTTTTTGTCTATTAAATTCTGTTTAATCCTTTAACCATTATAATGCTTTTTACCTTACGATTTTAATTCCATACTTTTTATAATTAAATCTTTAGCTAATAAATCCATTAATCATTTAATTAATGATTCCTTTTAACCTCATATTAATTCCATTACTTACTGCATTAATTTCTTAAGTTCAATTGAATTAATTTAGTACCCAATTAATTCTATATTTGCATCACCAAAGACAACTTTAACATCACCAAATTTGCACCAATTCAAACCAACCAAACTCTAACCTTTTAGAACTTGAATTAGAGTTTTGATCATTCAAAACAATTTTTAGACTTATGGAACTTTGGTTCCAAATTAATTTAAACTTACTTATTGAATTATCCCATTAAATTCATTAATTCATTAACCATTAAATTCTATTTAATTCCTTAACCTTCATAATCATTTTTACCTTACCATTTTAATTCTATACTCTTTACCGTTAACACTTTAACTTTTAAACCAATTAACCATTTAGTTAATACTTCCATTTACTTCAAACTAATTTCATTACTAACTACTTTAATTTCTTAAGTCCAATTCAATTGGTTAAGTAGCCAGTTAATTCCTTAAGCTACCAAATTGAGCAAATAAGGACATAAACATACTATTTAACTCTCAAACACAAAGTTCATCATTTATATACCATGAATTACTTAACCTAATCTATTTCCAAATAAAAAAAATTAGATAATTAGGAATGAAAGTTTATGCTTGTATAAGGAATAAATTAAATACATGCAAGATTATTATGGAAGGTAAAGGAACTAATTAAAGGTTGAATCAGAGATTTACGCTATTAATTATTATGGTTATGTGTTAACCTAGGGATGAAATTGCAAAACCATAAGGGTGTAATTGAAACAATTAAAAGTTTGGGTTCTTAAATAAAATAATTAGGAAACATTAGGGGACCCCAATCACTCTAGGGAACGTTGAGAATAAGGGCTAGATTGATGGAAATTTATGAAGTTACAAACAAAAATTGGAGGGTCGATTGCACGAATTAAAAGTTTAAGGACAAGAAGAATAAAATGCAAGTGATTTGGAGGATCAATTAATTGGTTTTGGGAGGTTAATTCCAGCAAGAATAATCTAGAAAAATGAAGGTAAATGGAGGATGGTTAGGTCGGAAAAACGAAGGAGAAAGAAGAGGAAAATATCTAGAGAAAAATCAAGCAAAAATCTGAGAAAAAAGGAGGAAGAAAAGAAAAATGAAGAAAAACCTAGAGAAGCCATTAATCGCTATGGTTTAAGATCAATCCAAGTGTGATACACTTGGCTTAATCTTAAGGAAAAACCTTGGCTATAAATATGTAAGAAGAAGATGAAAGAGAGGTTAGAACTTTTAGATGTTCAAGGTTACATCGAAGAGAGAATAAGTAAAACCAAGAGGAAAATCACCAAACCAATACACCAAACCATCTTAGACATCATTGAAACTCCCTAAAATCACCCTAGAATCAGTTTAGAAAATCAAGCAAAGGAGGACGAAGAAACTCCATCTTGGTCGAAACTTAAAGAGAAAGGAGGAAGAAATCCAAGGAGAAAAAGGAGGAGGATTGATCAAACTTTAAGTGAGGTAAGTGTAATCCTCACTACACCACAAGAAACCTATATTATGATATTTAATTGATGATTAATTTTTGTTTAAATAAGTATGGTTTTATGACTTTATTATTGGAGTTTTGGTGTTATTGTTGGAATTAGATTATTTAGATGTTATAGTTGTGTTTGTGACGTTGGAATTGTTGTGTTTGCTTGGATGAATGGAAGGGAAATGTGAACTTTGTTGATGTTCTTGTTTTTGAACAAGATGGCTTAAAACCCTACATTATGAGGAAATTTATAGTCTAATTTAATAGCTTAGAAAATTAATTAGCTATTGATTAAATAAATTGGGCTAAAGAAGCTATTGGATTAAGTAAAGGAATTAATTCAAGTTAATTGGAAATATTAATTAAATAGTTTATAGATTTAATAGTTAAAGTTTTAATGGTAAGAAGTATTTAATTAAAATGGTAAGGAAAGAATAGTTTTAATGCTTAAGGGAATTAATTGAATTTAATAGGTATGGATTAAATGAATTTAATGAAAATGTTTAAATTGGTAAGTTTAAATTAATTGGAAACAAAGTTCCATAAGCCCAAATATTATTTTCAATGTTCAATTCTCTAATTAAAGGTCTAATTGAATTTAATTGATGTTTAATTGGATTAACTAATTGAATTTCTAAGCTAAGGAATTTTTATTAAGGTGAATGAATTAATTAAAGTGTGAATTAGAGGATTACAATATTAATAGTTATGACTATGTATAAGCTTAGGGATGTAATTGCAAAATCATAAGGGTGTAATCATAACAATTAAAAGTTTAGATCCTTAAACAAAATAATTATAAAACTTTGATGACCACAATGGTAACACCTCCGTCCTATGACCTAGATAGATCGAGAGTATTACCGACGTTAACTTACATTCTAAGTGCAATGAATGAAAGCCAACAAGCCACCTTCCTTAACTCTTCTAAATTACTACTAAATTATGGGTTTTCATGCAAGGTCCCTAATAAATAAAAGAATAATAGGTCCAAATTAATTAAAACTTAGGTTTAAAACTTTTCAAAAATTCCTCCAATACCAATTAATATTCCTACATCATGTGTAGAAATATTAAATGTCAAAATTAGGTCAAAAACTTATATTCTTGGAATCCAATTTAATCATTTAAAATAAATACTTTAGATTAAACCAAATTGAACTATGTGTTTTATTTTTCCCAAATTCCTTTTATAAATTCGAATTTAATTAAAAATAAGTAATAATTAGTATAAAAATAACCCAATTCATTCAATAGAATAAATTACTAATATTTCCCTTCAAAACCAATTTTATTATAATCTAAATAATTTAATTAGAAAATATTCATTAAATATTAAAGCATTAAATCTTGATTTAATACTATTACTTTAATAAAAATTCCTTAGCTTAGAAATTTCATTAATTAATTCAATTGAACATTTAATAAATTCATTTAGACATTTAATTAGAGTTTTGATCATTCAAAATAATTTTTGGGCTTATGGAACTTTGGTTCCCAATTAATTTAAACTTACCAAATAAACTATTCCATTAAATTCATTTATTCCTTATCTATTAAATTCTATTTAATCCTTTAACCATTAAAATCATTTCTTCTTTACCATTTTAATTCCATACTTTTCACCATTAAGTCTTTAGCTATTAAATCCATTAACCATTTAATTAATGGTTCCATTTAACCTCAAATTAATTCCATTTCTTACAACATTAATTTCTTAAGTCCAATTCAATTAATTGAGTAGCCAATTAATTCTATAAGCTACCAAACTAAACAACTAATCAATCAATTACATGTTTTAGATTAATAAAGAAGACATAAAACATTAATTGAACTTTAAACATCAATGATTCCTTAAGATAAGCATTATGGCTGAATTAATCATGAAACTTAACCAAATCATTTTCAATATGTAATTAACCATTTTTCATGCCTTTTCATCCTTCTAAACCTTAAAAACATTATTCAATTTCAAGTTATCCTTTTTCCTTCTTTTTAGGTCGAATATTACCCAATGGAAGACTAACTTCCATTTGATCATTTTACCTCAAATTTTCATATCTAATCCCTTAATCAATCATTCATTCATCATTTATACATCAATTAGGTCAATTAAAACAATCAACCTAAACTTTCACTCTAGGCCGAATTACTCATTAAAATGACCGAACTTCAATTTTCCAATTCAACACCACAAAACTCACCTAAATCATTTCATCAAACACTTTATATACATTAAGCACATAAACCATAAATTTCCTCATAATCTATGGTTTTAAGCCATCTTGTTCTAAAATAAGAATATCACCAAAGTTCACATTTCCCTTCCAATCAACAAACCAAACACAATAATTCCAACATCACAAACATAATTATAATATCTAAATCATCCAATTCCAACAACAACACCATAACTCTAATAATAAAGTCATAAATTCATACTTATTTAACCAATAATTAAACATCATAATATAGGTTTCTAGTGGTATAGTGAGAGTTACACCTACCTCACTTAAAGTTTGATCAATCCTCCTCCTTTTCCTCCAGTTTTGGCTCAATGTGAGTTTTTTCCTCCTCCTTTGCTTGATCTTCTAAACTAATTCTAGGGTTATTCTAAGGTGTTTCAATGATGTCTAGGGTGGTTTGGTATGTTGGTTTGGTGATTTTCCCCTTGGTTTCGATACGAGCCCAAGCCCGGTGACGAGCCCAAGCCCGGTGACTCCCTATCCAATGGTTTGGTTCTCCGGTGTGAGTGTTTCGGTGTTTAGAGGGCCATCGTGTGGTGTGTTATGGGATGTCTCGGGAATATCGGGGTGGGAGGTGTAAGTGATTTTGGCCTCAATCCGCTCCAGGTTGTTGAGCTATCGAAGCAATAGTGGTGGTAAGGTCAATGATTTGATTCTTCATTGCTGGAATCTCGGCGATGTCCTTTTCCAATTGATCTACCCTAGCCTCCATTCTTGTTCCGGACATAACCCACGGGAGGAATCTGTGTGCTCGATACCAAAATGACGAGACCGTTGTTTGAGTAGTAGAAAGCGAGAGAAGTGCGAATGGTGGAAGAAGTAAATACAGTAGAGATTGGAGGTAAGTGGGAATGTTGTATTAAATCGAATAACAATGGCGAGTACATAATGGAGGACGATTCGAGAGGTCCATTTTCTCTCCTCATACGAAAACGTCTACTTTCTACCAATTCCCTACTTTTCCGAATGCCCTCATATTCCCCACCTTTCTCTCTTTTATTCACAAACTGCTGCCATAACGAGAAAAGGCCACTCAAGACAACAGTACACAAACACACACCATACGCACACCAATTTCCCCTACTAACGACAACGACACCAAACAACTAACTCGTAATTAATTTGCTACGACCACTAATGGTTGGCCTTCGATTCCTTTTTGCCTTTCTTCTAGAATAAACCATTAGATAGGGAGTCACTAACTCGTAATTAATTTGCTGCATGACCCCTAATGGTTGGCCTTCGATTCCTTTTTGCCTTTCTTCCGGAATAAACCATTGGATAGGGAGTCACCGGGCTTGGGCTCGTATAATTTTTTTTTTTTTGAAAATTCCACTAACACCAATTAATATTCCTACATCATGTGTAGAAATATTCATTCACTTTCATTTAAGTCATTTACCCTCCATAATAATTATGCTCGTATTTAATTTATTCCTTATACTAGCATAAACTTTCATTTCTCACTTTTAATGAATATTCCTTTATTAATTAAATAATGTTTTCTTAGATCATTCTCTTTGCAATCTTTTTCTTTCCTTAAACTTGAGTTCCTTTCTTTAAAGATGAATCTATTCTTTTCCTTACATAATGGCAATCATGCCAACTTTGCTAAGGGTATCCCATAGATTATCCTCTTTGCACTCATATCAATCATCTTCACATTAGATACTTAATACATTTCCTTCATCCTTTGCATTCACTGCATCCTATTTTGTTACTATCTACACAATAACAAAATGTATGGATACAATGATTAGGTATTCCCTTTAGTCTATAGTATTCCAACTCGAATCTATATCACTATTATTATTAGCATTCTTTTTTAATGGTATTTTATTATATCCACACATTGAATCACATATCATGTTACTCTCCCTCCTTCAAATCCATATAACTAATTTGGCCATTATTACATGAATAGTCCTTACATTTCCTCATCCTTACATTCGAAGTGCATATTCTAGTGAGGAGGATAGGAAAAGAGGTGCTTGCAATATAAAGATGAACAAGAATTAGAGGATTCATGGAAGGAGATTTAGAATCGTTAAGTTCAATGGTCAATTATTTAGGACCATTAATGTTAAAAGATTGATGATAATTGAAGGATATTAGTGATCATGATAGAAATTTCAAGGATGGAATTTTTATGAGGGGAGGATGTAATATCTATGACCTAAAAACCTCCTTAAAAATAAATATAATTATAAGAATTATTTAATTAATACATGAATATTCATTTGAGGTAAAGGTTAGTAAATTATGCTTGTATGAAGAATAAATTAGTGCAAACATAGTTATTATGAAAGATAAATAAATTAATTGGAAGATAAAGGAATATTTATTAAAAATAAGGAATGAAAGTTTATGCTTGTATAAGGAATAAATTAAATACATGCAAGATTATTATGGAAGGTAAAGGAACTAATTAAAGGTTGAATTAGAGATTTATGCTATTAATTGTTATGGTTATGTGTTAACCTAGGGGTGAAATTGTAAAACCATAAGAGTGTAATTAAAACAATTAAAAGTTTAGGTTCTTAAATAAAATAATTAGGAAACATTGAGGGACCCCAATCACTCTAGGGAATGTCTAGAATGAGGGCTAGATTGTGGGAAATTATGAAGTTACAGACAAAAATTGGAGGGGCCGATTGCACGAATTAAAAGTTTAAGGACGAAAGAATAAAATACAAGTGATTTGGAGGATCAATTAATTGGTTTTGGGAGGTTAATTCCAGCAAGAATAATCTAGAAAAATGAAGGTAAAAGGAGGCTGGTTTGGTTGGAAAAATAGAGGAGAAAGAAGAGGAAAATATCTAGAGAAAAATCAAGCAAAAATCGAGAAAAAGGAGAAAGAAAAGAGAAAAATGAAGAAAAACCTAGAGAAGCCATTAGTTGCCTTGGTTTAAGATCAATCCAAGTGTGATACTCTTGGCTTAATCTTAAGGAAAAACCTTGGCTATAAATATGAAAGAAGAAGATGGAAGAGAGGTTAGAAACTTTAGATGTTTAAGGTTACACCAAAGAGAGAATAAGTAAAACCAAGAGGAAAATCACCAAACCAACACACCAAACCACCTTAGACATCCTTGAAACTCCCTAAAATCACCCTAGAATCAGTTTAGAAAATCAAGCAAAAGAGAAGGAAGAAACTCCATCTTGGTCGAAACTTAGAGGAGAAAGGAGAAGGAATAAATCCAAGGAGAAACAGGAGGAGGATTGATCAAACTTTAAGTGAGGTAAGAGTAATCCTCACTACACCACAAGAAACCTATGTTATGATGTTCAATTGAAGTTTAATTATTGTTTAAATAAGTATGGTTTTATGGTTTTATTGTTGGAGTTATGTTGTTGCTATGATGATGTGTGAATTGATTGTTTGGATTTTGAATTGGTGACTTTGTTGATGAATTAGTATGTTTGGAGTTTGATTGGTTGATTTGAGTGAGATTTTGGTGATGTTAAGGTTATCTTAACATCTAGTCCTAACCCTAGTTGTTAGGGAAAATCATGGTTTAAGAGGTTAATGCATTTAAGGTGTTTGAAGAAATGAATTAGATGTGTTATGTGGTGTTGAATTGAAAAATTGAAGTTTGGTCACAAAGATGAGTAATTCGGCCTAGGGTGAGAGTTTAGGTTGATTGTTTTAATTTACCTAATTGATGTATAAATGATGAAAAAAGGATTGATTAAGGGATTAGATATGAAAATTTTAGGTAAAATGATCAAATGGAATTTAGTATTCCATTAGGTAATATTCGGCCTAAAATGAAGGAAAAAGGCGAAAGGGTAACTTGAAATTTAATGATATTTTTAAGGTTTAGAGGTATGAAAAGGCATGAAAAATGGTTAATTGCATGTTGAAAATGATTTGGTTAAGTTGCATGACTAATTCGGCCATAATGCTTTTCTTAAAGAATTATTAATGTTTAAGGCTCAGTTAAGCAACAATTAAACATCAATTGAACATAATAAAATAGGTTTCTTTTGATGTAGTGAGGATTACTCTCACATCACTTAAAATTCGATCAATCCTCCTCCTTTTTCTCCTTGGATTTCTTCCACCTTTTTCTCCTCTAAGTTTAGGCCAAGATGGAGTTTCTTCCTCATCCTTTGCTTGATTTTCTAAACTGATTCTAGGTTGATTTTAAGGAGTTTTGAGGATGTCTAAGGTGGTGTGTTGGTTTGGTGAGTTTCCTCTTGGTTTTTCTTATTCTCTCTTTGGTGTAACCTTGAACATCTAAAGTTTCTAACCTCTCTTCCATCATTTTCTTCCATATTTATAGCTAAGGTTTTTCCTTAAGATTATGCCAAGTATATCACATTTGGTTTGATCTTAAACCATGGAAATTAATGGCTTCTCTAAGTTTTTCTTCATTTTTCTCTTTTCTTCCTCCTTTTTTCTTAGATTTTTTCTTGATTTTTCTCTAGATGTTTTCCTCTTCTTTCTCCTTCCTTTTTCCAACCTAACCAGCCCCTTTTACCTTCATTTTTTTAATTAGTTCTTGCTGGAATTAACCTCCCAAAACCAATTAATTGATCCCATAAATCACTTGTATTTTACTCTTTAGTCCATAAACTTTTAATTAACTTCATAATTTTCCACAATCTAGCCCTTATTCTAGACTTTTCCTAGAGTGATTGTGGTCCCCAATGTTTCCTAATTATTTTATTTAAGAATCCAAACTTTTAATTGTTTCAATTTCACCCTTATAGTTTTGTACTTTCACCCTTAGGTTGACATATAACCATAACAATTAGTAGCGTAAATCTCTAATTCAACCTTTAATTAGTTCCTTTACTGTCCATAATAATCATGTTTGTATTTAATTTATTTGTTATACAAGCATAAACTTTCATTCCTTACTTTTAATAAATATTCCTTTTCCTTCCAATTAATTTATTTAACTTTCATAATAATTATGTTTGCACTAATTTATTCTTCATACAAGCATAATTTACTAACCATTACCTTAAATGAATATTCATATATTAATTACATAATTCTTACAAATATATTTATTTTTAAGGAGGTTTTTAGGTCACATATGTGATGCCCCCAACTCCCTTACCAATTACCTAAAAGGCATGGCTAGGTGCATTACAGTTTAGAAACCAAAGTCTCAAATTTACTCCCACTTTTACATGGCCAAAAATCATAACATATGAAATATAAAGTACGTACAATAAAAATTATGAAAATTTATTTACAAAAGTTACAAAATATTTGCGATGTTATTTACCAACTATAACACCATATCCCTTAATTATAATCAAATTGAATCCTATATTTTTCGTGTCACGGATGAGCCATTTTTTGGGAGGAATCGGTAGCTTCTTTATTAGAACTACCATCACTCTTACCTACAATGGCATGAAATAATAACGAGTGAGCCGAAGCTCGGTAAGTAGGGTGATGCATGTGAGATGCAATGCAATCCTATCACTTAGCCTTCCCCCTTTGATTTTAATTCGGGTACCACTAGGTATTAACAAGTCTCGCTCTATTCTCATTCCTCGGTGATTATCCTTCGTTGTAGCACATGGTTAGTGGAATTATCCATTGCCTTACGGTGTATTCAATTCATAGAGCACACACACAACTTCATTGCTAATACCCATTTAATCCAATTAGGTTACCAAACCTATCTAATTTTCAAACCAAGTCGATTACCGAATCTCATCATTTCTTGACTTAAATGTTTTTCTCAAGTCAACCACCCCTAAATGCATATGATGCACGTGATGTTTTGTTTATCACATTTCACCAAACCATTGGCACCAAACCCTTCATTTCCATACCACATTTGGAATCATCATGGTCACACAAGGAATACAAGACACACCTATTAGGGTTAATTGATTTCTATAATTAAATCCTAGGAATGTGTTGGAGCGCATTTGAAATGGGATTTCCCTCATAACCCAAAATTGAGCCTTAATGGCTGAAATTTGATTCTAATAGATCTAGGTCTTAATTTTGATTTTTCTTACAATTGTACCTTCC